ATACCATTGCTTTGACCATACGGACTTTTGTTGGCAGGGTGATGTCTCTACTTTTTATCATGCTGTTTAGGTTCGCCATCGCTTTCCTCCCAAGGAGCAGGCGTCTTTTAATTTCATGGCTGCAGTCACTGTCTGCAGTGGTCTGGGATCCCAGGAACGTGAAGTCTGTCACTGCTTCCACGACTTCCCCTTCTATTTGCCAAGGAGTGATGGGTCCAGATGCCATGATCTTAGTTTCTTGAATGTTGAGTTTCAAACCAACTTTTGCCCTCTCCTTTCACCGTGGGCAAGAGGCTCTTTAGGTCCTCTTCACTTTCTGCCATTAGAGTGGTATCGTCAGCATATCTGCGGTTGTTGATGTTTTTCCCAGCAATCTTAATTCCGGCTTGTGATTCATCCAGGCCGGCATTTCGTATGATGCAATCTGCATATAAATTAAATAAGCAAGGTGACAATATACATCCTTGTCGTACTCCTTTTCCTATGCTAAACCAATCAGTTGTTCTATATCCGGTTCTAACTGTCGCTTCTTGACCCTTATACAGGTTTCTCAAGAGACATGTGAGGTGGTCTGGTACTCCCATCTCTTTAAGGACTTGCCATAGATTGTTGTGATCCACACAATCATTAGCGTAGTCAGTGAAGCAGAAGTAGATGTTTTTCTGGTACTCTCTTGCTTTCTCCATAATCCAGCGAATGTTGGCAATTTGATCTCTAGTTCCTCTACCTCTTCGAAACCCAGCTTGTACTTCTGGCAGTTCTCTATCCACGTACTGCTGACGTCCAGCTTGTAAGATCTTGAGCATGACCTTGCTAGCGAGTGAAATGAGTGCAATTCTACAATAGTTTGAACATTCCTTGGCATTGCCCTTCTTTGGGATTGGAATGTAAACTGACCTTTCCCAAACCTGCAGCCGCTGTTGCATTTTCAATTTTAAAAAAAGTGGGGGTTGGCAGGAGGGTGAATGTGGCCCCTTCTTGGAGTTCTGAAAATATGAGTGGTCTATCCAAAAATATGAAAGGGGGATGGGGTCAGTGAGAAATTGCTCTTGGGACAGCCAGAAAAGCAGGGAAGGAGAGGTTGAAAAGAGGTATCTTGATCAACCCCTTCCTGTTATAAAAAGGTAAAGGTTCCCTTGCTCGAAAGCCAGTCGAATCTGACTCTAGGGTTGCGGTGCTCATCTCCGTTTCCAAGCCGAAGAGCCAGCGCTGTCCAAAGACATTTCCGTGGTCATGTGGCCAGCATGACTAAACACCAAGGCGCACGGAACGCTATTACCTTCCCACTGAAGCCTGTCACAATTTTAATTCTGTAAAATTCAGGGGTCATTTCCTGCAGGAGCACACAGGAGCGGAGCTCCGGCAGTAAAGAGCCCAGGGGGCGGGCACATGCAACAAACCCCACCCCCTGCTCCCAGCAGCCTTCAGTCAGAGCAAGAAGCAGCCAGGTAAGTTGCAGAGCCCCCCCGGCCCAAAACAGTCCAGTGGCAGTAAAGAGCCCAGGGGGCGGGCACATGCAACAAACCCCCCCCCCTGCTCCCAGCAGCCTTCAGTCAGAGCAAGAAGCAGCCAGGTAAGTTGCAGAGCCCCCCCCCGGCCCAAAACAGTCCAGTGGCACCTTTAAGATCAAGTTTTATTCAGGTACAAGCTCTCCCTCTTCTGCGAGGAAAGATCTGCATGCCCCCCCCTCCCAATAGCTATCAATCCAAAACAGTCCAGTGGAGCCTGAGCGGTGGGTGTTGCCTTCTGACACACTTCCGCAATGCGGGGAGGGCGGGGTATAAATGAAATAAATAAAATAAATAAATAAGTTATGCTAATGAGCTCCTGCACCTCTTTTTCTACGAAATGACCCTTGGTAAAATTACATTTTATCCATCCCTTTCTTTACCCTGTAATCTGTTTCCGTGAGAAAGGCAGGCAATAAATAAATATGACCAAATATAAATAAAATTTCCAGCACTGTTGTGGCTCAGCTCTCAGGAAGGCGAGGATACACAAAGAGCATTTTGTGCCAGATCGGTGGGTCAGGCACGACGGGAGGAGGAGCACCCCCACCACACCCGGTGTTCCCTCTAAGCTGAGTCAGTGTGAGCTACCTCAGTTTTCTAGCCTCCGGCTCACACATTTTTGTCTTAGCGCAGGAAGGGATGGCTCCAGAGCAAACTAATTCATGCAGTAGCCAAATTGCTGGCGAACAGGAAAAGGCTACAAATTCTTTTTCTATTTCATTTATTTAAACCCCATTTATTTGGTGGTTCTACTCCCCCCCTTTCATTCATTTATACCCCGTCTTTCTCCCCAATGCGACCTAAGCGAGCTTAGATCATTCTCCTCCCCTCCCTGTTATCCTCACAACCATCCTGTGTGGTCCTTTAGGCTGGGAGTGTCCCACTGGCCCAAGGTACCCCAGCAGGATTCCACAGCAGAACGGGGGATTTGAACCTGGGCCTCCCAAATCCGAGCCCGACGCTCTAAATCAAGTTCAAGTTTATTAAAAACAGTCATAAGACCAGCAAAGACCAAAGTAGTACAACAAAATAGTACAACACAGAGTCTACAACATAGGACCCTTACAATCTTAATCACTAAAATACCAAACCCAGGGGTCGTTTCGTAGAAAAAGAGCTAGGGGAACTCATTAGCATATGCCACACCCCCTGACATCACCGGAAGTGTGTCATAAGGCCACACCCCCCGCCCCCAATGATCCCGGCCGCCGGTGGCGGCCTTGCAGCTCCACTGCCGAGCCCCATGAGGGGCCTGGCGGTGGACCTGCAAGGCCGGCGGGAGTGCAAGGAAGCCCCGCGAAGGCCCTCCCTGGCCCCAGGCAGGCAGGGGTGGGGAGAGGCAGGGAGGAAGCAACTTACCCTCCCTCTTCTCCTGCCTCCTCCTGGCTGAATGAGGGCCGGAAGCGGGGCGGCTGGAAGCAGGGGGTGGGGCTTCGTCATGTGCCCCGCCCCCCGTACCTCAACCGGGGGAACTGCGATCCCCTACGATGCCCCCCAAAATGACCTCTGACCAAACCGGTCAATTCCATCATTAATGGCTCGAGTTACAATATATTCTGCGCTTTTTGATTACCAGGTAACAATATTTAGCAACACTGCATGTGACAGAATCAAAAGTATCGGCCAATAAAAACTTCATCAAACATTCCTCGTCATATGTGAGATAACAAGCCAGGGGTTTAAAACGTGAGAGAAGGGGTATCAGCAACTGCTGTCTCTCTTCATCATACATAGGACAATGGAGTATTATATGACAGGCCGACTCCACCTGTTCTAGCAAACAGGAGCAAATTCTCTGATGCATGGGGGTCCGGGTATATCTGCCATAGAGTACTGCTGAGGGTAAAACATCGAGCCGTGCTCTAGTAAATGCCCATCTATGGTTAGGGTTTTTTATGAGTCCAAGGTAAGATGCAACATTTAAACCTGGTCCCATCTTTAATCTCTTATAATAGGAAGGCAGGGCTGCATAGTCGTTTTGTGCTTCAATATCCTTAAGTCTTTGATATATTAGGTTCTTTGCATACTGCAGACCTCCTTCTAACAAATTTTCAGGATCTAATCCGATTAGTTTCAATTTATCTACTACTCTAAGAGCTATTACACCATTCTGTTATTGGGTCTGTACCATTTAAAACAAACAACCCTGTGTGTTGCACTGCTCTCCGACGCCCACCTTGAACCCCTGCTAGGGTTGCACATGGGATGAGCACTTAGGCGTAGAGAGGCAGTTGAGCCTATCTCTGACCCTCCTGTGAGCCAGGCAGAGCTTCCTGGGCGAGTTTTACAGGGGCTCAGAATAACAAGCCCAGCATTTCAAACTCTGGAGGAGGAGATTGGATTTATACCCCGCCCTCCACTCGGAGTCTCAGAGCGGCTTACAAACTCCCTTCCCCTCCCCACTACAGACACCCTGTGAGGTAGGTGGGGCCGAGAGAGCTCTTTCGAGGACTGCTCTTTTCAAGAACAGCTCTGACAGAACTATGGCTTGCCCAGGGTCATCCAGCAGCTGCATGTGGAGGAGTGGGGAATCAAACCCGGTTCTCCCAGTGAAAAGTACGCAAACGGAGATTGATTTCAGCAAAGCGTACTTTATTCTATCTGGAACAAGACGACTTTGGCCGGCTCGCAGGCCGGCTTATATCCCCCAAGAAACCGCCACCCCAAACACACCCCTACTTCCCTATAGGTTACTTACAGTGGCCGAGAGTCCCATAAGCTCTCGGCCGGGAACCTAGCCCCCTGATTGGAGCGGGCTAGGATCCGCATAGTCCATTGTCTCTTGGAGCGAAGCTCTGCGTTTGTCTCTGGACTTGTCTGGACTGGATACATTACAAAAACCCATTGGCTTAGCTGCTCTGATGTTATGGAATGTTCAAAAACAAATTACTCAGACCAAAGGTATCAGCAACGGAACGCTGATAAACAGCAAGGCTTCTGTGAGGGAAGTGAAAGGTCAATTTGGCTAGGAAGAACCTCACATAGGAGAAAGTGAATGCCAGACACCTAAAGGAAATAGGGAAGGATAAGAGAGAGCAGTAATGAAAGGACATATTAAGGAAAAGGTTTACAAGGGCGCTAGGCCACAAGACCAAAAGAAGATAATGATAAAATCATCCTTGCCTGAGGCAGCAGAACAAATTTGGTTTGTCCTCCTGTTGCACCTCTAGAAAACCAAAGTGCAGAGCTTCTGAAGCACTGTGCCTTTTATTGTATTCATTATCACTCTATATGTCTGGCCCTTAGGCAGGGCACAGCTACAGAAGCAATTCACAAGGGCTATCAAAAAAATTGGGGCCTAGGTACCTGAACTGGTTGATGGAAGCCACCTGATGAGGCCATCCACAAACCTCTATCATCCGGGGGACATCCTCTCCAGATATGCAGAACAATTGACGTTGTACATTAACCAGAAAGGAACGACAAAATCCTGAAGAGGACCAATGGTTCTTCTAAGCTATGAAGTCTCGTGAGGAAAAATCCTACTTTGTGAGCGACTGGCATTAAAGTTGTGAGCCAGCGATTTGGCTACTGCCTAAATTAGTTTGCGCTGAAGCCATCCTTCCTGAGCTAAGACAAGAATGTGTGAGCTGGAGGCTAAAAAACTGCGAGCTAGCTCACACTAACTCAGCTTAGAGGGAACACTGATGAGGACCGAATGTGCTTGGAGAAGGGATGGAATGTCAAAAATACAAGTGACAGTTAACGGGGGGGAAACCCAGAAAACTTAAAAAAAGAAAGTTAGCCTGCTCAGACTCCAGACAGTGTACAGGACCCTGGAGGGGGAGTACAGGTTCCCAAATTCTTCTCCTTTCCCACAAATCCCTCACACCAGCTTCTTATATTTATACATCTCATCGCTCTTCTCCATTTCTACTCTACTCGTCTCCGACAAAGGGGAGATTTGACGCTCAAAAGCTTATACTCTGAAGTTCTTGTCGGTCTCTAAGGTGCTGCTAGACTTGAATCTGACTGTTCTTCTACTATGGAACTAAAAAGAAAAGTATATGAGGCTGATAGGGGACCGGCCATCTTAGCAATGACCAGGGGTCGTTTCGTAGAAAAAGAGCTAGGGGAACTCATTAGCGTAACTCATTGGCATATGCCACACCCCCTGACATCACCGGAAGTGTGTCACAAGGCCACACCCCCTGACATCACCAGACATGTGTCATAAGGCCACACACCCCGCCCCCAACGGTCCTGGCCACCACCGCCGGCCTTGCAGCTCCACTGCCGAGCCCCATGAGGGGCCCGGCGATGGACCTTCAAGGCCGGCGGGAGTGCAAGGAAGCCCCGCGAAGGCCCTCCCTGGCCCCAGGCAGGCAGGGGTGGGGAGAGGCAGGGAGGAAGCAACTTACCCTCCCTCTTCTCCTGCCTCCTCCTGGCTGAATGAGGGCCAGAAGCGGGGCGGCTGGAAGCAGGGGCGGGGCTTCATCATTTGCCCCGCCCTCGGTACCTCACCCGGGGGAACTGCCATAGTACTAGCAGTTCCCCCCCGAAATGACCTCTGAGTTTCTTGTACTTTTAGCTATAACTTGTGAATACCAACTACTTAAATTCATAAACTTTAACTTATCTGTAAGTTATTCGTTTGTCAATTTAGTTGACCAGTGATTAACTTTGGCACAATTCAGCTGGAAATAGCTCAGTGGGATAAGTTATCCCCAGGTTGGTTAGAAAGTCATCAATGAAATAGCCATGAAATTGGATTTTTTCTTGCTCCATGGGATACATGTCCACGTCCCTGAAATGGCTCCAAATACTCTGAAGAATTGTATAGACGGGAAAATTTGCTAGTTGAGGCTTTTCTCATCTCATGGTACACTGAGAAAGTAAGCTGTACCTGGCAGACATTTTCCTTTCAGTTTAATTTCTTATAGGCAAACATGCACTTAAAAGCATTGGAACAGACAAATCTCTGTGGCAAATGCCTGCTGCCCATTTTGAGTCCCATGGTCCTTTGACTCCTGTAGCATTCTGGTCTCTCCTGTTCTGTGCTAATACCAGGAGAACGGCTTAGATCTTCTTTGCAATATCCAGGTGCTTCCTCAGGGCCTGGTCAACCATGACGGTGATGGTATAGTAGGGGCGGCGGCTCCTACTCAAAGGCCTGGCGGAAGAGCTCCATCTTGCAGGCCCTGCGGAACTGCATAAGGTCCCGCAGGGCCCGGATCACTCCCGGGAGCTCATTCCACCAGGTAGGAGCTGCCACCGAAAAAGCTCTGGCCCTGGTCACAGCCAGTTTGGTGTCCTTAGCTTCTGAGCTCCAGCGAGCTCAGTCTAAAGCGGACTAGCTTAACTTCAGTCCATAAATTGTACCATGAACCGCCGGACCACACCGGACCCTGTAAGATTTAAACCTCTGCAAAGCCTGTTTGACTAGAGCTGATCAAGGGGGGCATTGCAGGCCACCGTGGTTTTATCATATCATCCGGAAACTCTGTGCAGGATGGATGCCTTGTATTTCCTAAACTCTCATGAAAACTCGCCTCTCCAAAAGGTCTGGATACCAAGTTTCTTGGCGGCCGATATGAATTCTTTCTATCTCGCTAGCAGAACACCCCCTTCGCCAGACTGGGAAACTGTCACTAACTGAGGAAGGGTTCTAGCAAAGGCCGGTGTCCAAAAATTTGAAAAGCCGAAGAGGGACATCTAGTGGTGACTCAAAATCATCCAATTGAGCAAGAAGTAGCATTGTTAGAAGCTCAGCGGTGGGGGTGGGGGTGGGGGCCAAAGTACGAACGAACATCAGAAGAGCCCTGATGGGTCAGACCAGTGAGGGTCCATCTAGTCCAGCATCCTGTCTCACACAGTGGCCAACCAGTTCCTCTGGAGGGCCAACAGCAGGGAATAGAGGCCAAGGCCTTCCCCTGATGTTGCCTCCTGACTCTGCCATTCAGAGGTTTTGTGCCTCTGAATGTGGAGGTTCTCCTCAGTCACCATAGACTTATCCTCCACGAATCTATCTAAACCCTTTGTGAGCCACTGGCATTAAAGTTGTGAGTGAGCGATTTGGCTACTGCATCAATTAGTTTGCTCTGGAGCCCTCCTTCCTGAGCAAAGACAAAAATGTGTGAGCCGGAGGCTAAAAAACTGTGAGCTAGCTCACACTAACTCAGCTTAGAGGGAACACTGGAGGTGAGGGACCTCAGCAGGTACAATACCACCCTCTAAAGCAGCAGTTTCCTTCAGGGGAACTGATCTCTGTAGTCTGTCGATCGACTGTAATTCCAGGAGGTCTCCAGGCAACCCTAATTAAAGGGGGCCTCCATCTACAGAGGAAGCAAACTTCTGTGTACCAGTGATAGGCGGAGGCCGCAGGAGAAGGCTTTCGCCTGTATGCCATTTGTTTGGCTTTCCAGAGGCACTGGTTGGCCACTGTGTGAAATAGGATGTTGGACTAGATGGACATCAGGTCTAATCCAGCAGGCCTCTTCTTGCATTCCTTCAATTGTACCCATTTGGAATTCCCAAAATATGGACCATCTGCTCGTCCCTCTTTTGGAATAGCTATTGGGCACGCGCCACAGGATTTGAACAACAAAGGATCAGACAAACTTGGTTATGTTGTAAGAGCCAAGGACTGTGAAAACCACACTGCTGAAGCCATGGTATAAGACATTCAAAGCATTATCCTGATTCTTTTTTTAGTGACAAAGGAATATTAGGCAAAGAAAAATTTTGCTCCCCGAATTTATTCCAACGCCTGGTTACAAACACGTATTTGCATCAAAGCATTCCGTGCACCTTGGTGTTTAGTCATGCCGGCCACATGACCACGGAAACGTCTTCGGACAGCGCTGGCTCTTCGGCTTTGAAATGAGCACCGCAACCCTAGAGTCGGACTCGACTGGCTTTCGAGCAAGGGAACCTTTACCTTTACCTACTCTTTCACAACCAGCCTTGGCGTCGTTTGTTATATCTTATTATTAAGGTAAATATTCTTCAAAGGACTCTATGATTTGAATCTCTGATTCATTGTGACATTCTATTTGCTGACTGCAGTTAAAAAAGCCAGGGGGGGGGAAATAGCCCCAAAAATTCAAATACATTTTCCCCCCTTTTCCGCTGTTGTCTTTATTGATTTATGCGTCAAAAAGAGACATCCAGAAATAGCATCTGTAGAAAATTACCATACGTTCCCTGCCATCAATAGAGAGTTGTTATACATTAACAATCTTTAAACATGTACGAAACAGTCATTCCAATCATTTTCAGGTGAAGAAAAACACGGAGGGGAAAAAAGTAGGGGAAGATGTGTTTTATTTTTCAACAGAAGCAAGAAAGGGGATCATATCAACCAGATCTATAGGCATAAAATGGAACCAACAACAGTGCTGAACCTGACTTTCTGTTGATAACGTCGTTCGGAGATGTAAAAAAGGGTGCTCGTGGGACTGCAAAAAGGAAGAAACCTTTCAAATCCTGCGTTTTGTGGGGTGAATTCCTTTTTGCCACCTTACAGCCTAAAAGAGTAACCTTTGGTGTGCTGAACCTGACTTTCTGTTGATAACGTCGTTCGGAGATGTAAAAAAGGGTGCTCGTGGGACTGCAAAAAGGAAGAAACCTTTCAAATCCTGCGTTTTGTGGGGTGAATTCCTTTTTGCCACCTTACAGCCTAAAAGAGTAACCTTTGGTGGTCAACCTACACGGTGCAGATTCACACAGCAATACCTTATAGAGATAGGCTGTGTGAATGATCATCAGCTCTGGCATCACGTGTTCAGCATGCCGTGCCCTGGAAGCCTTGACACAGGACTTCTGGGGAACAAGCCCCCAGAATAAGACAGCCTTGATTCACAAAGTGGAATTCAGAAAAGCAAGCTCTGTAACTAAACTGGATCAGGAACCATGGGACGGCCATGCAATGTCACACCAAGATCCGTTTTGTCCAGCCATGGCAAGAGGGAAGCACAGAAGAAGAAGAGGAGGAGGAGGAGGAGGAGATTGGATTTATACCCCGCCCTTCACTTGGGAGTCTCAGAGCGGCTTACAAACTCCCTTCCCCTCCCCACAACAGACACCCCGTGAGGTGGGTGGGGCTGAGAGAACTCTGACACAAACTGCTCTTTTTCAAGGACAGCTGTGCCAGAACTTGTGACTGACCCAAGGTCACATCAGCAGGTGCAAGTGGAGGAGTGGGGAATCAAACCCGGTTCTCCCAGATTAGAGTCCGCACACTTAACCACGCCACCAAACTGGCTCTCCGCAGAGAAACTGAACCCAAAAAGGCTACCCAAAGTGGCAATCATAAAAGGGATTACATCAAACTGAACCTGCAGAGAAACGGAACCCCAAAAGTTTACCCAAAGCGGCAATCATAAAAGGGATTACACCAATATCCTGGACATAACAGGAGAGCAGGTCAAGGTTAGCAAAGCTGTGATGGCACTGACAGTCTCGACCACGTTCCTCATTTGTGGTACCTTCCGGAAGTGAATGCAAACAATTAAAAGAAAACCACCATGAGAGGAAGTGGAGGTGGGGGAGCTATGATAATCAAAACCCAACCAGGGTTGTCTGTCACAAAAAAGGGGGGGGTGTCTCTGAAAAGTAAGTCCTGGCATTTCAAATTATGTTCCAGGGAAACCTGGGGTTCTTACAAGTTTATGGGAGAGGGCAGGGATCTAAATGAAAAGATACTCCTACTTACACCAAATTTGTTAGGATCTGGGCCCCAGTGTTAGATTATATGGTAATGAATGATATACTCCCAGCTAAGCAGATTTACCATAAATGGTTATATTTATAGAGTTTAGCACGTATTAGAGCTGTAT